TATATATATATATATATATATATATATATAGGGAGGGAGGGTAAAAAAGTTATTCTTTTAGTTATGGTACATGGTTTCTATACACAATGGAGCTTTGTTTTACTTTCTCCTTGGTCAACGAGAACCATTCTAACTCTTTCTGCCATGGGTCCTGTGTAGTGCCTGATGTATGTGTCTCCAATGCATCCTCACCTTGACATTTATCTGTCCAGAAACATGCTTTTGCGAATAGCCACATATAACATAACATCATCAGTGGACTCCCTGAGACATACTTTGGATTCTTCCCATGCATCAATACCAACTGAAGAAACCCTGTTCTGGTTTTTTGACCAACCTGAAGGACCTAAACATATTTGTGTCAACACGACTTCCATAGTTTTCCTAATCAATGGAACACCTTTACATTCGTTTAGAAAGGAAGGATAAGGTAACCAATCTGTGGTTATGAATGCCAATCCTACCACTTCTCTTCTTGCGAACTTTGGTTTGCAAACTGCCATGGTTCAAAATGGGGTCGTTAAAGAGGAGTCAACCTCTGTAAACACCATCCATTCCTTCAACTCTTGGTCCACTGTACTTGTTTATCTCTGAAAATTTTTTTGCCCATCATGTGTATGACATGTAAAATGTATTGGTTTCAGTGAATGAATTGCATTTTGTTACACAGAAATAAAACATAATGGATGAGCTGATTTTTTGCACCTGGGGCTTAATGTTTCTCATTCATTTCTTTTAGAACTCAAGGATTTAAATGCATATGTACATGCTATACTGTGATATACCTGTGCATAATCATTTGTAAGTGATGACATATGAAATTACGCATAATCATAAACATAACATGCTCTATGCACATGCTGCGTAATTTTGTTCAAACTATCTTTGTGTGGATTTTGCTTTTTGAAGTTTGAGTGAGATGTAGTTTTACCATATCCATATCTGCAGGTTATATTTCCAGCTCTAGATATACGTGTGAAAAATGTGGCCCGCACATATTCCCTTGAGCACAAGGGGGAAAGTGATCTTTTTGATCAACTCTTTGATTTGCTCAACTCAAATATGCAAAACGATGACAGTTTCCGCAGAGAGTTGGCTTGCTGCACTGGAGCCATACAAACATCAATTTGTCAGCATATGTTCAAGGAAGAGGAACAGGTATGTCTTGCGTGAGGATTCAGAATATTTTTATCTGAAGCCCAGGTTCTTATGCAGGAGATTCCACCTTTTGTATGTTCAACTTGGAACACTTCATGTCAAATACTGATTCTTTTAAGTTTTATATTTTGTTGTTTTAAGCCATTCAACCTCCTAAAGAATCTGAACTCTAACCACATCAGCATGTCATCTGACTGGCAGAAACTCGGTTTACAGCTTCTTGGATAGTTTAAGGAGAGGCTCATTGAATGTGTTTTTTAAAGGTTTTTGAAGAAATTGACGAGATTGAACTGGTTTATTCTCATTATGGTTAATGGTTTATTTTCCCCCTGAATTAATGGTTTGGTGGGCGGTATTACAAAGTCTGTGGAGGGCGAGACATTATGTTATTGGAAGGAGTTTGATGCATTTGTGACTTGAATGTAGGATGTTCTGACTTTCTTTTTACAATAAGGGGCCGTTTGGGAACCTGGAAATCTATTACATGAAATTGATTACACGGACATATGATATTTTCATTGTACCAAATATGACATTTTCATTGTTTGGGTACACTTTAATAGTAAGAAAATGAAAATAGATTACCCTAGTTTCCCCAAAAATCAAGAAAATATATGACGCCCAGTGAAGGGTGAAAAATCTATTACACGTTTGACGGGTAATTGGGAGAAATCTTTTGGGTGACTCTTTCTACCTACCTAAAAATCCTATAATTCAAGTCGTCTTTCTACCCAAAACTTCCGTGATTCAAGTCTTAATAAACCACAAGAAAAAAGAAAAAAAGAATTATTCAAGTAGCCACCAATAGCTCCCTTTGCGAATTGAATCGCACATATATTTAAACTAGCAGTTAAAAACCACCCGCCCAATCTTCTTCAACTAGCGGCTAAAACCCGGCAGCCCCATCTTCGACCACCAGAGTGGTAGCTATTGTTTATTTCTAGATATTCAAGATTTATTTTTTGGGTTTTGCAACCACAGTTGAAGCTATTGTTCCAAAAAATAAACGGATTTGGGTTCTCTGCTAAGATCAGTCTGTTTATTTTTTTGGCTTTATTTTTTCTTTTTTTCTGCTATTGTTTGCTAATAAATTCAAAATACTTGAGTTCACTCACAGATAATCGTCAAATCAGTGTGCTTGAATTAATTTTTTTTTCAGAACTTTTTTAAATTAATTTACCTCTTCAATCTCTTTCAATGCCCTAACATAATTTCTCCTCCAACACATGTCATAAAGCCTTTTAGGTTAGTAGTCAAATTTCTCCGAACTTTTTTTTTTCTTTTGAATTTGCCTATGAAAGTTTTCTAGAGAGAGATGAACGAAAGGCTTTTAGCACAAGAAAATAAAACATAAAAAATATGATGGCTTATCATAATAATGATAAAAGTATGTTGTTAACATCTTGAAAACACTTGATTCCAAGTCAAGACGTAAAGGCATACAAAAGGTGTGGCTAATTCTTATGCCTGATGCAATTATAAAGTTTAAGCTACATATTCATAGGGATAAAGTTTAAGCTACATACTAATAGGGATTGTACGCGTAATCATCTTTTGGGTATAAAGCCAAAAAAGAAAAAAGAAAATGTTGGTAATGCATTTCCCATATTTCTTTTGGACATAACCAAACAGTAACAATGTATTCCCATGTTGCATCTAAATACTACCCAAATAGTGACAATCCATTTGCAGGTAATGTATTACGCCAGTAATACATTTCACATTGCAGGTAATGTATTACGCAGTAATGTATTACGTCAGTAATATATTTCACAGACAATATATTTCCAGGTATCCAAACGGCCCCTAACATGCAAGAAACAATAAGATTGTGTTTTCTACTGTAAGTCACAAGTGATAAATTATGCTGTAACTTCATGGTTATTGTGCATTGCATGGTGAAATCCTCCCTTTCTCTGCCTTTCTCTCTCCAGTCGCATACTATGTTTTTTATTCCTTATTTTGTTGAGCTTCTGGTAGAAGTAGATGAAGAAAGAAGTCTAGTAGTCACTGGAGATTATGTTGTTTAAGCGTGTTGGCTAAGCTCCTAAATGTGACTTGGGTCAGGGTTGGAGGAAAGAATGAGCTATACAACTGAGGAGATAATGAGTTGGTGGTGAGAAGCTTTAGCTGCTAGCTGGGTCTTTAAGCATGTTTACTTTGACTTCTGAGTCTATCTTGTATGGTTGCATCCTTCTAACTTCCTATTTTTTTTCCTTGGGTTGTTTTGAACTTAGACTGGACCCATAACTATTTGGGTGCTTGATTCCCTTCTAGAACCTCTTACAGTATTTTCTGTGGCTTTTCCTTTTTCTGGCTTTTGTCTCTCTGCATGTTACCCATCCAACTTATTTGGTTAAGGATGTTCCACTCGTAACAACAACAGACCCCTCCACGCAACAAACCACCCCGACCCTTGTAGAGTTCTATCTTTTATCATTTTGGCATCTGTAATTTGTTAGTGAAGGGTGCAAATCGTAGATTGGTGTTATTTCAGTTTAAATGATTCAGATGCTTTAACTTCCGTTACATGCACCTGTAGTAGAAGATGGGACATGGAGTTGTAGTTGATACTCATAAGCAGTTATGTAAAGCAAGCATTTAGTTGAATGAGAGCTTATGTATTTTTATTCAGCTGATAGTTTGTGTCTTACATTTAACAATATTATGTAATTTTATTAAGCTGGTAATTTATGTTTGTTAAGGTATTGCATTGAAGAATATAAGTATTTTTATAAGGGAAAATACCTTCATAGACCCTAATTTGGTATATGATTTCCTAGTAGACCCACATATATAGATCGTATCTTATGGCATCAATTTTCTTAAAACTCTTTCTACTAATCCCCTAAAGTCATTGAACCACCTTTTATTCTATATTTCTGTCCTGAACAAATTTCAAAATGACACGGGCCATCTTTCTCTCTCTCGCTTTCCTTTTTCCCTCTCTCTCTCTCTCTCTCTCTCTCTCTCTCTCTCTCTTCTTCTACTTACTTACTTACTACTTACTACTCTACGTACTACGTACTACGTACGTACGTACGTACTACGTACGTACGTACGTACGTACGTAC